CCATTCTTCCCTACTCTGGACATGCCAACATTAAATTTTGAAAAAACTAATTCCTACCGGAAAAAAAGCAAAACAAAAAAAAAGTAAACGGAAATGGTGTAACTATTAATTATGTTTTATTTAATACTTAGTAATTACCGTGTACTACTGATTAGGAGCTCTGTAAGTAGCACTCTTGGCTTTCTTTAGGAAGACATTTTGTATTTCTTGGGAGAAACATGGTTTTTATGCCATCTGCGTCTTCCTTATCAACACTGATTCTAAGTTATTAGTTATTTTGAGATGTATTTTATGTCATTTTTACTTCCATAAGCAATGAACAAATTACAAACAATATCATTGAACGTTTTTGAATACTTATACTCAAATTTCTGCTTGCTGTAAACTTTTCTTTGTCGGAGTCATTAGGGATGAAGCAAAACCATGCTTTTCCACCATTTCCCTCTCAAAAAATGATCAGCACACCCTAGACGCTTACTACTTACATGCTTTTTTAATAGACTATTTCAAATGTTTGAAAGATTGATACGCAAAGCGGGGAGCAGTGAATGATTTCCAGAAAATTATTAGTAGAAATAAATTCCAGAATTTCGCATAAAATCACAAAATAACACAACAATTCGCAAAATGAAAAAAAAAAAAAAAAAGCGGAACAATTACGCCTAAATAGTAAGAGTCGGCATGTATGTTACTCACAAACCCTTTACCTTCCAACTTCTCTGTCTTTAAAACTTCTCAAAACCAATGTCACTGTAACTATCTTATGCTGTACACTGTAATTTTTACTAGTCAACCATGCCCTTCACTTCTGCATCAAAACACCTTAGTCCCGTGGTTCCCAACTTGGGGTCCGCGAAGGTAATACCATCTTGTTAATAAGCAAGTTTTTAATACTGCTGTTTTTTTAATTGCACACTCAGTTATATATGTATTTTATTTGATAGTGAAAAGTGGGAAAACGAGTTAATTAGCATTTAATAACAAAACAGTTTGTTGGGTAGACAAAATCTTTCAAAAACATGGGGTCCTTGGTGGTCAAAATGTTGCGAGCCATTGCCTTAGTCCATTTTCTACTAGCATCAACTCTGATATTTTGCTTGGTCACCTCACATACTACTTTCTGAAGAAGATATCATCTCAACTCTTTCTTCCCTTGAACTTTTCTTTCTTTTTCTGGCCATTCCAGTGACATTCTCACCCTATTATCTGACAATACTCAACCTAAAACACATTGTTAATCTCTTAACTATAGCAGAAAAAAATGTTCATAAACTTAGAAATCTTATTGAGAAATGAACTAGATACCATCAATAGTCAAAATAGTCTTCAAAGATACAAAAGAAAAGTAATACTGAATTGTTGGATATTTTCTGATGTAACTAGTGTGAAAAGTACTATTTTATTATTAATTTTTGTTCTCATTTGAAAACACTAGTCTTCTTCAACTGGAAAATACCATGCACTTATTTCCTTTTTAGTTCAGGAAGATGAATAGTTCTAATTCACCAAGTTGAAAGATAATTCTCATCAACACGTTTTTGGAGCATGTACTGTGCTCAATATGCCGTTAAACTCTGATATGTTGCAACCTTTTTCTTTCACTAGTCACACATTGTCAAAGGCCATTTCACACCTTTTTGGTGTTGCTGAACTATTACATGGAAGATACCATTGAGAAATTCTTTAGTTTTACACTAATGAATTTTTTAGTGATATGAATCATTTAGAGGTTTAGAAATACCTGAAGGCTGTATCTTTCCATCTATCAATTGATGAGGGCAACAAGTGCAATCTTGGAGTATTTATATTTTTTCTAAACTTATTTTTATATATCTTTAATTGTTTTTAGTTTTCTTAATCTTAATCAACAGCTCATCACTATTTTCTTCAACTTTCTTATATTGTCATTACCTTATTGTGTAAATCTCATTTATATCTCATGTTACATTCTGTTCTTGTGTATTCTTTCTCATGCAATGGTTCATTTCAAAACATCCTGTAGTAGTTTGTCAATAATCAAAAGGCTTGTTTTTGGCTTTAAAAAAAAGAACATTTGCTCGAAATGTATCACTAAGGAAAGGAAAAATAAAACTAAAGTTCTTGACATGGCTTACCTCTAACAGTCAAAAATGCTTCATCTATGCCACATTAGTTTCTTTTTCATTGTCATCCCAAACTTTAGAACTTTGAGATTGATAAACACAAACAATATTCTTAAAAATTTCTGGATATAGTACAAAATTACATATTTTCACTGAAATCATTGCAATCGATAAGGATTTCCAAGTACCCTTATTTTCTGTATTATGATTACTAAAGTTTTAAGTTAAACAGATATGTTGGAGCTTCTAAAATGTTGGAAAATGAACAGAGATAAGTACAGTTTATTTGGGTAAGTAACACTATTGTGAAGGCTGTAGATGTGCTATACAACTAGTTTGTACATTAGACTGTCCGATCAAGTCCTGGAAATATCTACCACACCAAGTAACAACTGTTAGCTACACATCACGTCCATTAGGAAATTCAGCTCCACTGTTCAGTTATGGAATGAGAAGACATATCAGCTTAAATGGATATGTAAATCTTATTGTAGTTCAGTTTAACAAATTCATCATTTGCAAATGTACTAATGTGACACTGGATCCACTCATATGAACTTTTATAAATACAACTGGATCACACTTTGTACTGATCCAGGATAATTTATTATACTGTCTGGAATATTTTGAAATAAGAAAACCATACAGGTAACTGACTGGCTATAAAATATAGATACAAATCCCATAAACCATTTTTAACACATCCTTGGATGCTGTGTGTCAACATCACCAACTGTAACTAGCAATATATTATCAATGTAACCATAAACAATTCTGATTTCAAATCCCACAGACCACCACTGAGACATTCCTGGCCAGACGTGCATCAACACCACTAGCTGATAATATATTGTAAATATTACCAATTTATTAACTGTATTTAGTGCTACAGTCCTTGTTCATTTGGCTGAAGAATAATAAAAATTCTCCTCTAGAATGATTAGTGAATACACAGTACATTAATTTTTTTCCTAAATTCTGTAACACAAAGTTTTAATTTATGATAAATGTAGTAAATCTGCTATAGTAAACCTTTTCTTAAAATTTTTTGGTTACTTTATTTTTCTTTAAGTCATGACTTTAGCACTTTCCCACCTGGATGGAATGCAGTGCATGCAGTATTGTATTATTTCCAGCCGTACATATATGTATGTATATTACAAGATTACACACAATAGGAAATTGAAAATTTTTTGTTACAATAATGTAATCAAAATGTTTATTTACAAAAAACTCCTTACAGAATAAATTGGTTATTTTGAAATCGATAAAAATACCATTAATATAGATACACATTAAATTATTAAACATATCTAATATTCATAAAATATATTATCATATTACAACTTGTGCATAAATCACCAATCTCTATAAAAAAACTGATTAACAAGAAAATAAAAAAGATTTAAGTTTATACCTGCATGCAAAATCTGATGAAAGTTACACATTTTGAGCAATCTGGAAGGTATTTTGAAAAAAAGCACTTTGATAATTAACTATTATATCACCTATTACATTTAAAGTTAATCATATAAAAGCTGTGTATACAATAATCACTGAGATAATGTTTTCATTGATCAACAGCATAGCAATCACTTACCAAAATACATAAAGTTCCATTTTTAGCTAATTAATGATGAGCCTCTTATTATTTAGAAAAGACACACAATACAGTGACTAGGAAGAACTTTTCTTCAAATGTTTATATTACTCAAACCAAACAAAGTTTTGAAGTGTTCCTGAAGAACTAGTCAATACTTGGTATGACATACAGGTTGTTGGTTGGTCATTTTAAATCAAAGTAAATACTAAAAACAAACAAAAACTATCAAAATGTAACTGAAGATATTTATATTAGCAAATTATATTTTCATACAATTTCAACCATTTCAAGTATTTGTTAACAGTGAACTTCACAAATCATATCATCAGCACTTGAATATATATCATTCACATATCCCTTTGTTTCAAAGTAATACATAAATCTCACATGCCATTTCTCTGCTACTAGATCCTCATCATTTCAAGTCTAATTTTAAAATACCTAATGCACTTTTCTTTTTACTATACTTTTCATTACCAGATCCACAGTTTTAATTAAATTGATGAAAATTATGACCAATAAAACTATAATCTTCCTAACAAAAAAGGCAACTTATCTTTACATATTTTTAAAATGCAGCTTAGTACAATAACGAATGTCTGTGGCCAATGTAGTAACGAAAAATGTTCAGTGTTTATGTGTTTTTATCATTATAGAAATGAACAAGAAAACATGGCATAAACAGTATTTACAATCACTAACAACCACAGATAACTTACTTTCATGTAAGATACAACTATATGCTCTAAAATTATACATTCTCAAATACTATATACTAAGAGCACAACCAAAGGATGATAATCATATATATATATAAATTTCTAAGTATTTTTTACAATGTGAAATCATTACATTGCATCAGAATTTTACAATTACATCTGTTCAGCAGCTCTATACACATATAAAATAAACATGAAGACTCATAACAGTAGCATCAAGTTAACAAATATGTGATACCATTATATCAAGTTCATATTAAAATATACCTCTACATTTACTAAAGACATCTTAGAAAAATTTATTTAGTTATGCCAAATCTATTTGTATTCATTATGTGTGCATAAAAGTATATATATTTCAACACTTCAAAAACTAGGAAAAAATCAAGGTGTGTGTATTTCAACACACATAATTTATACAAGAAACATCAGATTAAAAAGTTTGTTTTAAGCTTCCTAAACTTTTTCTTATCAGGATAAAAACATACAGTTCACATACATTTATTCAGTCATGATTAACTTTAGATTTGTGTTACAAACAAGACAAATATTTAGTATAACTAAGTCTGATGTTACTGTTATACATTAGTGACATTTAGAAACTAAGTAATGACAGTTCAGATAAATAATTTCAGTCATGATTAACTTTAGATTTGCATTACAAACAAGACAAATTTTTAGTGTAACTAAGTCTGATGTTATTGTTGAGCATTAAAGCCATTTGGAAACTACATAATGACAGTTCAGATACATTTATTAAGTCATGATTAACATCAAATTTGTTTTATGAACCAGGTAAAGTTTTATTTAAAACCTTACAAAAAACTTTTATACAGTTAAATGTTCACAAGTCCAATTAATAAAATTAATACTTGCTTTTAAATATAATCAGTCCATAATATAAAATACTACAGATATATTTTTAATCTTTATGTCAAAAGTTGAGTCTAAATCTAAAAATAATGCCCCAGACTTTTGGAATGAGCTAAACATTTTGTTTTGACATAATTTCCTATCCATATTATCATTTTCATAATTTTCAACATGAGCTAATGCTGGTTTCTAACTAGAAACTATTGTCATTACAATTGATTTTCTGACATGAAACACCGATATCCTACTGACATTATAACGGATTTCTAACCTTAAACTACGGATATCCTACTGATATTATGACTGACCCATAATCTGAAATTACTTATATACTGTTACCATTTGTCATTACAACTGACCTCTAACTTGAAACTACTGATATCCTTCTGACATTACGACTGATGTAGAATGTGAAATTGACATACTACTGACATTACAACTGACCTAACCTAAAACTACTGATATTGTAACTGACCTCTAATCTGAAACTATTGATATCCTACTGGCCTCACCTGAATCTACTGACATTATAACTGATCTCTAACCAGAAATTAGATATCCTAGTGATATCAAGACTGATCTTTAATCTGAAACTGTTGATATATTACAGACTTCATGATCAGTATCTAACTTGCAACTATGCACATGTTAACTGATCTCTATCCTGAAAATATTGATATTCTAAGAACAGCAAGACTGATCTCTGACCAAGAAACACTGTTATCATACTGACAGTGTGTTTTGGTTGGGGAGTGAATTAAGTAAATTATAAGTTAATGAAAAATATATTTTCTTTAAATTTATATATATATCTAAAGCATTTAACAAACAATATCATTATATATATAGCACTTTGTAACATGATATCTAAGTACTTTTACAGAAAGATTCACCTAAAGAGGTAGCACAGTTATCAATGGATTTGGTAGAAAATTGGTAGCTTATTATCAAAACTGCTTGAAAAAAAACAATAAACAGTAGTAAAATTATCCCAATCTTCTGGTATTTCTGAAGAACATCACTCTGGTTTTTAAGTAGAGTTACCTGAAATAATCACAAAAAAACATAATCTTTTTAAACTAGACACTAAAGTATCTCTGTTGACACTACATTTCACTCAGTTCTGCTAAAGGACACTAGACCAATAATTAAAATGTAGTTAACACAGAGTGTCACCACACAGTGCTCTATATTTTGACTAAAACAGTCACAAATGTTTACATTTGAAAAAGGAAAAAAAAACACCTAATAATATTTCTTACCAAGTCATTTGGTGGCCACCTTGTTTTATTTGTTTGTTTTTTAATTTCATACAAAGCTAATCAAAAGGCTATCTGTGCTAGACATCTCTAGTTTAGAAGTAGTAGACTAGAGAGAAGGTAGCTAGTCAATATCACCCACTACCAACTTTTGGGCTACTCTTTTACCAACAACTAGTGGGATTGACCATCACATTATAATGCCTCCATGCCTGAAAGAACAAGCATGTTTGATGACAGGAACTTGAACCCGCAGACTGCAAGTCAAGTACCCTAACCACCAAGCCCACTTGTTTTAAGCAGCGTTTCCAAGTTAAATTTAGGAAAACGTTTTTGAACTGCCAATATTTCAGAGGTTTTAAGAGGATATCCTCAGTGCTGTTTTGTATGGCCAACATTTCTGAGATTTTAAGAGGATATCCTCAATATTGTTGTTTGTCAATCCAGCAGTTCTCAAACAAAGATGGAGGCAGAAGGCATACACTTCTGGTGTTTGTCAATCTGATTCTGGAGTTAAAATATGGTACAGCACCTATCAATCATAAATAAACTATCTTTATAAGTGTGCCAACTAGACAATACTTGTCTAGAATGAAGAAACCAAGTATGCTAACTGCTTCAGTCAGGTGCCATTTCTGAAAATATTTCTATCAGACAGAACCTGACTATATGATGTTTAATTATTTTTTAAGTAATCCAGACTTTCCATTCACCAACAGTTATTATACAATAATGCTACAGAATAGTTTTTCAAAAGTAAATGCAAGTTTAAATACACAATTTCAAAAATATTCTATGATGGTATTTATGTAACAGTTATATTTTAAGTTAGAAGTTTGTATGTAAAGTTGATCCTAACTTTGGTTAAAAAACTTTTTATACGACTTTGCACTTGGCCAAGGTGATGTCAAAGCAAAAGTAAGCATAACAGAAACTAAGTTTAATCAAGAAAAACAAATTTTATTGTAAGAGACAATCAGTTGGACATAACAAGTATACACCATATCAGCTTTTCCATTAACCAGTAAATACTGGTCACACACTGTTTCAAAAGCTAGTTGACAGGGTAAAGATGGAAGCTGCCATTCAGTCTGACATGGATAAAATAAATCTCTTTTGAGATTCACTGACCAGCAAGTGAATGGAGGTAAATGGCTGTACTCCTATTTTACTGCCAAAAATGCAAAGCATAATATTATGAATGTAGCGATAATGATTTTAGTGGTTTAGGAATAACTCTCTTGCTACGGGCTCAGTCAATTTGGTCAAGTCTGTGACTCCAAATTAACCTTTAGAGTTTCCATACCATAATTTCTAATATATTTTGTGTACCTTCATGAAATTTCACAAGCTTTCAATAAGCATTACAAGTCTTTTGTAGACAAAAAATTAATATTTTTTAATGAAGTATTTTCACTAAAACTTTCTCCGTGAGTATATGGAATCAAAGTGTTGACTGCCCTGAGTGCAAAGTGATTTTTTGTGTTAAGATTAAAAATACTTTACTTCACCTGAAACTGGTCAAATTTCATTTCCACAATCTGTAAAATCTTCTACTTAAATTTCAAATATTTTTTTTAAAGTAAAACTTTATATTTTATCTGTTATTGTTTCTACCCTGTTCAATTTTTTGCCCATGGGAATAATGTTTGAACTGAAAGTGAAAGAGACAACTTTCTGTACAGAAAACAACATAATATGTCATTTGATAGATCAAAACTTTGGCTTTATATTGGTTATAAATATGTCAGAAACAACTACTGGCAATTTGTGAAAGAGAAGGTGTGACAGGTGGGTGTGGCAAGCGAGTCTGATTTTTTAGGTTATGGCTCTGTAACCAAATAAGATTGAAGGCTATAAAACTATGCTTTGCTTGAGTAATAATATTATAATGAGTAATTTACTTTAAATTTCTTCCTTCTCAGAAGGACTGCAAATTTGCACAATACCATGCAATGCTTACATACTGCAGCAACGGAACCTGACAGACACTACAATTTTCATGTTGGATGGTGCCTCTCTGGTTATTGGTAACCATGTGAAACACATTTTTGGGGGAGCACTCTCACAGACAAAATCATTTCACATCACTTTCTTTGTGAATGGCCACTTCATTTACCAGACTTAACATGAGCTGATTTCTGGTTGTGAGGGTATCTTGAAGTCACACGCTTCACATAGTTCCAGACCTTAAAGATGCAATTGTCTGGGAAGTAGTCAGCATACCAGACAAGATGTGCATTGTCACAGAGAAGCAATACATTCTGGATACTGGAGGAGGACATGTTTAACAGTTACTGTGATTGATCATGCATCATGACATAGTGACACTCTGTTACAACTGTAGCATTAGCATCTCCATGGTTCTTTTAACACCCATGTGCAATTTTACCTTCTATGCCATGCCATTTGTGAGATATGATGTGCTGAAGTGACACTTTCTTTATAATCACCCTTTTATATTCTGTGATCTTCAAGTCTATAGGTCATAAACTGTAGTATAGGCCTATATGGAATATAAGCTTATATACTCCCTTCTGGTCCATAAGCCTTTTAAAAAGGATTGCCTGTCCCTAGAGTGAAAAAGGTTTATGTTGATCCACTATCTTTTTTTACAATTAATGCCATACAAGTGGTTGAGAGGAAGGCATTAAATTTATAACCAAGAAAATAACTTGTAAATTTGCTATACATTACACAAAACCAACGTTAGAAACCAAGATTAATGAATGTACTTACCTCTTTGTGCATAGCTACCATCTTGCCTTCTAACCTTTCCCATGGAAATGAGTCAGTTTGGGCAGGATGCATGACTGTCTCTAAAGGCCTGTCTACTGTATCTTCCAACATAGATCCAGAATTAACACATTTAAACCTGAGAAACAACGAACAAATATTTTGAATTCATTTTTCTTTACATATCTGCAAATTTTTCTATCTTGGAAAGAGCCACCAATTTCCAAGCATAAAGAATTGCCTTAGTCAGCTCTATTTTAAGACCGTATAGATTAAACAAGCAGTCAAAGCAGGGTAAAAATATATTTCCCAACAATGAACTGAAACTATAAAAGCATCGATAAACCTTCTATATCATAGATCAAAAAGAGACCAACTTAAAACTATTTAGGTAAAACTTAGAGAAGCAGCTCACTAAAACTTTTTTAGTTTGTCTTTAAAATAGTCTTTATATATTATAAAACTGAAACTAGTATTTTAATTTAAAGAAAATCACATTTTCTTTTTTAATTTTTTCCTGACATCTTTTAACATTATTAGAAACTAGAAAAGAAAGTCAACTTATTATGACTACATTTTGAAAATGGAAAAAAAACACATAATTTGTTGGTTTGCTCTTGCTTCTATGAAAACACACTGTACATACCCTGAGATATAGTAAATTTGAAACTGTGTTGACTTATATACAATTATCAAGTTTGTAACCACTAAACATACAGCAGATGATTTGAACAGTGACTGATCTTATAAAATGCTTAAACAGGGATACACTGTCAATGTTATTTTTTATCATAAAGTTTCATGGACTTGTACAGGCTGAAACTAAACTTGTTTGACGTGCTACAATATTATTGTGTCTTGTACTTACTTATGTTCCAAAATTTTTTCGGGAGAACTCTTTTTCCAAATACTATTGACCTGTGCTACTTTTGCTTCCTTCTCCTCAACTTCTAAAGCCATCAGAAGAAACTTATCTGCGAGTCCACAGTGTGAACCTAGTTATATGTAAAATAATGAAAACATTACTTATAAAGAAAATAAAACAGAACCTATATGTATATCCACAGGCATATCCAAATCACTGTAAATATATCTAGGTTGGTCATGCCTACAGTTTCTTGGTATGATCTCAACATTTCATTGCAAACAACAGCTACTGGATGTAATAGTTTGAAACTTCAGGATTATTTAGTTTCTGAAATAAAATATCTTAATTTCACATATGTGATATTATATGAATTTGAAGTTTTGAAAATTCAAAAAGATTTCATTGTGGTATGTTTAAGAAACAATTAAAAATGCTTATTTTTGTTGCAGATTTTAATTACTGATTTTATGTTTTCGCACATTCTTGGTAAGCTTTCCTATAAAGTTTTATTTTATAAAACTGTAAATTTTATCTTTGTTTTGATTAAAGAAAAAATACAAGCTTCAAGTTCACTATGTTTATGATCACTGGCATACAAAAAATAATAATGTTTTTCTATACTAAAATAATAAGTAAGCTAATTTTTTTTAAAGTTCTAATCTGAAAGTTTAAGTTAATATATGTAATAAGTTTTAAAGCCATTTATATTCATTTATGTATATATATATATTTTTTTACATTTCTTTTGGGTGATTTTCTTTGCCAATTAAATCATTTTCTAGGTTGATATGGCCTAACATAGTAGCCTTGTCAGTGAAATGAAACATGATATGGTTGGAAACAAAATGATTTAAATAAACCTATCTCATCTTCATCACCACAAAAACATTTCTTTTACTATAATACTGTAACATTATAATTCAAATGAAGTATAAAATGATGAAGAAAGCCTTAAAAAATCAGGAGTGTAACTGTGGCAGAAGTTGTTCATAAATGTTTTTTCTTCTAGTAACATATCACTTAGCTGATTTTTTATCACTGTGTTTAGATCTATGCAAATCTCTGTTGAACTGATAGCCATACTAGCTTATAAAGTTGAAAAGAACAGAAAAAAAGAGATTTCATATGTGTTTCAATCACTAGCTTATGGGCCCGGTATGACCAGGTGGTTAGGGTGCTCAACTCGCAATCTATGGGTCGCGGGTTTGAATCCCCGTCCCACCAAACATGCTCGCCCTTTCAGCCGTGGGGGCATTATAATGTGATAGTCAATCCCACCATTCGTTGGTAAAAGAGTAACCCAAGATTAGGTGCCTTCCCTCTAGTCTTACACTGCTAAATTAGGGAAGGCTAGCACAGACAGCCCTCATGTAACTTTGTGTGAAATTCAAAAACAAGCAAAGAAACACTAGCTTATGACTTCTTGAAGCTGAAATATAGGCAATTATATCACACCATGACAACTAAGTTGAGAAACAGTAATTGGCTAAAAATCTATAAAACTACACTTGTGCTTGTGTTACAAGATCAACTTAGTGCTCTTTTATTCAAAACTACTATGATTTTCCTCCAAGGGGGTTTGTTTATAAGTACTGTACTGTGCTCATAAAAAATTAATAAAATCCACAAACACTAATGATTTTATTTAGAGTATGCTGAACTCAACCCAAAATCAACATTTTCATTTTTTTCCTGCATAAAATTAAATAAATAAAACCTGTTTATTGAATATACTTCAACTGTGAAACATTAATTTTCTTAAATGTGTGGAAGATTTAATAAACATTTATTTTTTATAATTTTTTTTATTCAATAGTGCAATTTGACCCTAGAGTGGGATACACTCATCTAAATACAATAGAGTTAAATAATGTTTAATGTTTGATTGAAACCTAGGTTACTTGGTAACACACTCTGTATAGACATTTATTATATAATCTTTACATTAAACTATAATCTACTGACTTACTTTGTTTTATTATATTGTCTAGGTTTGGGTTTACTTAAGTTGTCTTCATTGTGATTCAAGGATCTTTAACTTTGGATAAAGCTCAAATTTCAAGAAGGCGCATATTTACTTGTTAAATTGTCTTGATTCTGATTAAAGGATCTTTAACTTTGGATTAAATTTACAATTTATGACTAACTACATTTTTTACTCTGTCTGTATTAGAAAAACAAAGTTGTGTGTAGCTTACAAGATTATGCAGCACATTACAAACACCCACCTTCAGTTAGCTGAATGTGGACGTTCTTAAATCCCCCTGGCTCAATTATTCCTAAAGGTGGTCGGACACGGTAGATTTCCAAGTTATTTGTCTTTAACTGAAGAAAACCAAGTGTTAAACAACACATATGTAATTATAGAGCCAATTAACTACCTGTTGGACAATATAACACACTTCAGGCACTCTTCTTAATACACAACTACAAGTAATTGGTTAAATGTGGGTGTAATAATACGTCAACTTTAGTTAATGGCATTGTATCCAAATGACAATAATAAAAAAATAAAAAATAATGATAACTTCTTATTAAAAGTAAATAAACAATATATATCAGAACCAAAAAGCAACTTATAAATTACTAAGGATAATTATATACAACAAATTTGTTACACATTCATAATATCATAAATCAATTTGTCAGAAAACTAAAACTTATCTTCATTAGAATGCAATGAATCATTAGATGAGTACACTCACTGTTAATAATATTTTCAGACATCATCCCAACAATATATCTCAAGCAAATCAACAGCGTAAGAGATTTGGGTTTGTCTTACATTTATATGTGAAGCTAACAATACAAAATAATATTCACAGTTGTCAAAAATCGTTAGGTTATTATTGTCAATCACCTGCTACTAACAATGAGCATCTGTTGAAATATAAACAGCTGTCTACATTTGTTTTGGTTATAGCTTCCATCTCTATTTAAAAAAAATACAATAAGGATGCATCCAAAAAATACATCACTGTTGATCAAATCAGAAGGTAATTTGCTTTACCTTGTATGCAACACAATTACTGGTAATGTTGGTAAGGGTAAGGCACACACGAGTGGGCTCAGAGTCACTGGTTTCAGGGAAGAGTAGTGTTGAGCCTGGGCTAGAGATAGAGTTATGTTAATTAATATGTTGTTAACAGATAAGATTAAAATGTACCTTAATTAACAGAAATTATATTATTTCTGACCTAAAGACTTAGCAGTTGAAATTCTGAAAATGTTTCTGTAAATTTATTGTGAAGTAAAATAAAAGATAATAGTACATTTACAAAGGATATTAAACTAGTTTATATACTTTTCAAAAACATTAATACTTGATATTTTTACAACCCTCTCTAGAATAACACTTGTTAATGTGAAGTGTTTAATAAAAATGGACTAATACATAAGTTACTTTTGAAAAACATAGCCCATTTAGATATAGAATTTCCAGCAAAACAAAAGCTAATATTTTATAAGTATGCAACCTTCAACACAAACTAAAACTTACCAGACCTTTAATAATGAACCAAGAGTAATGGTGTCCCCTGGAAAAGGAGGTGGTGGGGGAGGAATGTTTTGGCCATCAGGAACATATTTCACTGAAGAAGAGCTTTTTCTGGTACTAGGAGTATCCAATTCTGTGGACTTTACCAAAATGCAAGCAAATACAATTTTTTTCCCATTTCTTTAACAGTTATTTTCCTTTAAGTTACATTTATAAAACTTAATATACTCAATGTTTTAACAAGAAACATTTTCTAATTATGTTCTAGTGCATATTGAACATTAACTTGCCAATTATAGAAACTGTCTAATGAAAACCTTTTTGTTTTTAATATCATTCAAAACTAATTTTCTTATTCATTAGTTATATATGTACTGCCATTTTGGATAACATAATACACATTATGTTGTGTAATACAAATCGTTTCAGGTTTTACCAGATACTCTCCAACCCAGTGGTTTCACATATACATTTACAATAATATTCAAATTTATATAAATTAAAACAAATGATGGTTTTTCTACCTAAAATGACCAATTACAATACTCTTCCATATTTGCTTGCCATTTTATTTAAGACTTGTATTTTTCCAAATTGTTCAAATTTACCTGCTCAAAGCTTAAGTTTTCTTCTGACTCATGAATTTCTTCTTCCTTAGAGAAATGAACCTGAAGTTCAAAAAAACATTAAAAACCTTTATTTGAAAATGGTGAATTCAAGCTTAATTTGCAACTTTTGTTTTAGTTATAAACTTTGATTTTATTAGTGATCTGCTTTACAGTACCAAACTAAACTACAATTAATTGTTGTTTTAAGATTTGTGTACTGTTTACATCTGAGATACTTTTAACAAACGTAATTTTAAGTTATTTTTCTTTAGTTTTGCTTATCATACTTCATGAATCATTATGTAAGTATAATAAGCTGTGTAGCTACTATAGCATACCAATTTCTCTAACAAGTTAATCTTATGTTTACAAATACAATAGTTTAATAAAAAAACAATGAAAGGAATAACATAAAGATTTCACTTAATATTTTAGCTGCAGAAAAATGTTCAGTGAAGCCTGCTTTTCAAAACAAGTTATTTTCAGATGATTTTAAAAAACTGTACAAATTTTTACACTAAAAAATACTTTTCATACAAAATAAACCAATAAAAAGGAAACCTAAATCTACCTATTCTACCAATATTAACCCTTTCGAGATGTGTCATGGGTGAAAGGCCATGTCTTCTCGTTTGTTGACTCGCATTCAAAATTTTATTGAACTACTATTTCATGAATTTATATTAATAACTTTGGTATCAAACTGTAAATTATAATTCAAATTTTAGTACTATACAATACTCAATTTCTTAATTTAAAAACAATTATTAAAAAACACAGATAAATATCGATTTTTGTGTGTCATGTGGTA